ACAGGTGATGCCGAGCCAAGTCGAGCATTGGCCTTATTGAGAATGATTTAAACTTTTTTTTTAGCTGCTCGAGCTCGTCGAACTCGATTTATGAGGCTCGACCTCGACTCGAAATTAAATGCTCAGCTCGAGTTCGGTTCGAATATTTTTAAGTGAAATTACCATTAAGCATTTGTGTTATACTATTTAAATATATATAAGGGGTATTTTAGTAATTTAATATATATCGAGCCGCTCGACAATGCAAAATATGGGCTCAAGCTCGACTCGAATTCGTGCTCGAGCCGCTCGACTCGTTTGTAGCCCTAGTTATGGGTGCACAAAATACAATTAACCAATCCAAGTTGACCGAAACCGAATATTTGGTTTGGATCGAAATCGAAACCGAAACCAAATATTTGGTTTCGGTTTTGGTTTATATTCTTTTACATTTTCGGTTTTCGATTCTGTTTTAATATAAGTGACCGGTTAACCAAATCGAACCGAAAATCAATATTATATAGAACTTAGAAAAAGTCGAGTACATATATATACATTGTACATTATCTATCTATATCTCCAAGCCCATTTCATTGGCCCATTTGTGTTATATATTTAGGAGAAATTATAGGCCCACTAATTATATCAACCCACCTCAGCCCAAGCCTACCATACTTAAAGAAGTAAACCGACTGACTACGTCGAGTGGGCTGCCTGGTCGAGTCAGTACACAACAGGACCGGTGGAGGTCGACCATCATCGATTCATGACAAAGAACCTTCGATCTGAAAGACAGCAGAAGGGGTTCAGGGTAGCCGATCGAGCTAGAATCCTCGGATAGCCTGAAAGAAACTCGACATGTAGGCATGACTGGTCGTGTGATCGACCAGAAGGAAAAACACTTGGTCCAGGACAGTCAACATTCTACCTCGGTAGACCTCGTGTGGGTCACACTATTAAGTGGTCGAATACGAAGGATTAGAAGATAAATAAAGAATCTTGCCATAATTAATACTACACGTAGCACTACTTGATTGGTCCACACTCTGCAACCACTTCTGATAGTGGGCAGGCCGATTGTATTATCGAGCAACTCAGGCAACTTGCGCAGCCTTTTAGAAGTAGATACTTCGCCCCTATAAATAGGGGCGAGATGTACGTTTCTTAGCTCATTACATTCTACATACTCTAGTGGTCGATAACGAAGGATTAGGAGATAAAGAAGGAATCTTGCCATAATTAATACTACACGTAGCTCCACCTGATTGGTCCACACTCTGCAACTACTTTTGACAGTGGACAAGCCAATTGTATTATCGGGCAGCTCAGGCAGCTTGGGTAGCCTTTTAGAAGTAGATACCTCACCCTTATAAATAGGGATGAGATGTACTTTTCTTAGCTCATTACGTTCTACATACTCTACATTTTTTGTAAATCATCTCCTACACATACTCATTTAAGCATCGGATGCTCTTCACCAGAAACCCCTTCCGGTGTGAGAGTTTTTGCTGGTCTAAGGCGTTCAACTGGCGAGGAAGCACGTGAGCCAGCCGATTCAAGTCGGTCGAGTCTTTGCATACCATAATATATAAAGTAATATAAATTAATGAATAAAACACTCATCTCATTCTCTCATGCCACCCAACACTCATCAGTTCATTTACACAAAGGCACATACTCAAAATCTCTAATTTTCAAACATTCTTAGTACAACGCATAATTGCACTGTGTAGCTGTGAATTGTGCCTTCGTCTCCTGCATAGCGCAGACTCTGCTCGGCATCAGAGCTCATACACACATGGTCCAACACACATTCTGATCGACAAGCAATGAGTTCGACACCCAAAAAATAATAAAAAAGGTTATAAACATAAAATATAAATTCAATTTTAAAATTTGCCTTGATAAACTTGAAGCAACCTGTGTAAAACCACAGGCCGATTTAAATGCCGCGGTCAACGGGCTTGAACCGGTCGACACGCCGATTGGATGCCCATGTCTACTCATAGAGGACTTCATTTAGTTCAATTTTTATTTCTATTTTTTTTTTCTTTTCAAAGAAGAAGTACAACAACTAAACCGACTTCGTATGTTTTGTTGGTGCTCCACTTCGTCGTCGTCGTCCATTCGATTAGTTCTGTGGCAAAACTGGAAGACTCTATTCCGGCATAGCTCCTCCCTACACTGTCCGGTGAAAGTGAAGCCCTATTTTGCGGCCATCCCTCGGAATTATTCCCGGCAAACAGAAACGATGATGGAATCCCCGGAAAATGACAAAGCCACCCAAACCGCCGCCGCCGCCGTACCTATGTCGAAAAACGCCCAGAGGCGGTTTCTCAAGCAGCAGCGGTTCGAGCTGAAGAAGGCGGAGAAAAAATCTAAGATGAAGGAGCACAAGAAGAGGGAGGCGGAGCAGAAGCGGAAGGAGTGGGAGGATAGACTGGCGGGCGTCGGGGAGGCTGAGAGAGAGCGGCTGACCGAGGAGAGGCGAAGGCGGAGGAAAGAGCACTTGGAGAAGTTGACGGAGGAGAAAGGGAAGAAGATGGAGAGGTTGCAGGAAGCGAGAGCCAACGGCCAGAACCTCGTCATTGATCTCGAATTCGCCCATCTCATGAGCCCCATTGAGCTGAAAAGCCTCGTTCAGCAGGTTCCTTTCTCTCGAACTTTCTCCGTTCTTCTTTTTTCCTTTTAATTGTAAGTGTCATTTTAAATTCATGGTCAGTTTTGTTATTGTCTGTGCTTGGCTTATTGGTAATGCTTGGCTGGTGAAATTCTTGTGGATGCGTCTGGGTTTTCCAATTGCAAAGTTGAGATCTTTTTGTTTTCCCGTGAATTCCAGTTGAATTTCATGCTTGAAGTGAGTAGTGGGTTTGTATTTTCTTACAGCACGCTATTCCTTTATCTAAGTATAAACAGACCTTATGAATTTCATACTTCCAGTTGGTACCAAGCAGACGTATGGGTCCCTAAAGATTCTGTACATTACATAGTTCATGTAATTTGGGTTCTGTTGGATGTTGCTCAATAACAGAAAATGTAGTGTACCGAGTATTCAAGGAAGTCCAGTTTTTGGTGTTAGTTTACTTAAACCAAGATGGTTTGAAAATTGTACCCAAAGTATAGTATCTTTTGTGCTGTAATAAAGCCGGTGGGGGATAGGAGAGTTATCTAGCACACCTATCTTTCCCAATGATAGCACTATTCTTTGGTATTAGCTTATAAGTGATATTGCCTTTTGGAATCAATGAGAAGTAATGGGATAAGATTATTATGCAAAAAGTTCAATTTCTCTTCCTAAGTACTCAGGATAGCTTGTATACTTCCTCTATTCTCTAGGAAAATATGGTGAGACTTCACTGCTCTGTAAGATTCAGCAATTCACCATTTTACCTGCAAAGATACTTTTGTATTAGTATAGATGCTCCGTTGTTGCTTCAAGATTGCAACTTTTCCAGTTTTCCTTGATTCTACCAGCTACTTATGATGCAGAACACAGAGTTTTTCACCTGATTCTGTTTACACAAGAATTATTTTCACAACTGCTCCATGCAGTGGCCACTTATGATGCCACCAATTTACATAAAAAGTTCGAAAAGCTTGACATGACACTAACCCCAAGTGGTAACAGAACTATGACTTGTAGGCTCAAGTAAATTTAAGAAATTGTGACTGTTGAGATTGGTCGGAGGATTGATTATGACCTGGATATATGGGCTTATATTTGGGGTTTATATATGTGTGTGTTTAAGTTGCTCGTTCTTTCCTTTTCTTTCATTTATTTATTTCATTTTTTTTTTTTTATGAAATCCATCATTGCCCCTCTGGGGCTGGGTGGGTGATGGAGAACATGATGTGTTAAACTTTGTTGCTATAATGAATAAACACTTTCTCGTGCACCATTACACTTTTTGAGGAAAAAGTTCACTGAAAGGCAACATCTTTGAGCTTGCTGGGCTCGATTATTCACCGTCTTTTTTTTAGCTTCTAACTAAAGTCAGTTGCTATGAACTTGACTTGCAGATCATGTACTGCTATGCGATAAATGGAAAATGTGCTGTGCCGGCCCACATTTGGCTGACTGGCTGCTTGGGAGAGATGCAAAATCAGCTTCTTCAGATCACTGGATTTGATAAGTGGTTAATTGAGAAGGAGGAACAATCCTATGTAGAGGCATTCAAAGATCGGAAGGAAAACTTGGTGTATCTAACAGCTGATTCCGAAAATGTTCTTGGTGAACTTGATCCGAAAGAAGTATATATTATTGGTGGTTTGGTAGATAGGAATCGTTGGAAAGGCATTACCATGAAGAAAGCAATAGAGCAAGGGATAAGAACTGCTAAACTGCCGATTGGAGCTTATCTGAAGATGTCCAGTTCTCAGGTTTGTTATTTTCCTGACTAGTTCCAAATTTTGTATTCTGATTATATCGAGCTTTCTTATCGAACTTCGAATAAAAGAGTTTGCTAGGTTTAATTTGAAGTATCGCGTAGAAAATTCTTCCCTCTGGAATATAAATAAAACCTTGCTGCTGTGATTTTCCACATAATTGCTGTATCTTACTTTTTGTGTACATGCATGAAGGTCCTAACAGTAAACCAAGTTGTGGAGATACTGCTCAAGTTCTTGGAAAAAAGAGACTGGAAAGACTCGTGTTTTCAGGTTATTCCTTTGAGGAAAAGACCCGATAACGAAGATGATGGTCCAGAGGTAGGAAGGCTGGACAATGAAAACAATGCAGTGATAGAGGATCAGAAGGTGAAAAGGCAGTGCATTGAAACATAGATTTTGACCTTTTTTTTTCTCCCATTTTTTTTTTTTTAATTTTGAAGACAGAACATATTGAAGTAGAAAACTTAAAGATAATATTTTCTTGGTTAAATAGTTGATACTGTTAAAATAAAGGATCCATGTCCTAAATCTTCTTTCAAATTTTTTATTTATAGAATTTGAGTTATCAGTTATCACCTTGTGTTCATGAATCTATTCTCACTTCATTCTGTTCCTAATATGTTAAAATAAAGGATCCATGGCACAAAACTTCTTTCAAAATTTTAATTTATAGAATTTAAATTATCGCCTTGTGTTAATGAATCTATTCTCATTGCATTCTGTTCCTAATATGTTAAATTAGCACATTTGAGTAAAATCCTTATAGCAACAGAATGCAATGAATAGTATACCTCACAAAAACTCAATTCCAGAAGAGGGTTAGAGAGTTGAAGACTGACTCATTGAATTTGAAAACTTCAAAGAAAAAGCATAGCCCTACAATCCTTGTTCACTCTCACACTTTGAACCACCAAGACCTAGACCAACNAAATGAGGAAAAGACAAAGCAAATGATCAAGTCTTCAAAGCCATAATAATTACTAGAGTAACTCTTCAATCCCTCTCCCTCACTATCAAACTTCACAACTTGTTCTGCTCCTTAAACTGTGACGACGGCCCAACGCTCCCGTTTTCCTTGAAGAACCCAAAGCTCACGGGCGGGCCCCCGAAGAAGCCATGTTGGAAGGGCATCGGTTGAGGGTTGAATCCCAGGTGGTGATCGGGTGGGCCCCGCTTGACGAGAGGTAGAGGGAAGGATCCTCCGCGGTCAGCTCCGTCGAGCTCACGGTAGCGGTGGAGGTATACGGTGAGGGGCTCGATGTAGTCGTCGAAACCGAGCTTGGACATGGCCCAGAGGACGTCCTCTGCAGTGATGGTCTTGCGCTGCTCTCGCTGGCATCGGTCGTTGGCCTCGCCCGTAATGAAGCTTATGTACTCCGACACGCATTCTTGGATTGTCTCCTTTGCGTCGTCCGATATCTTGGCGTGAGGGGGAAGGATCCGCCGCATTATGCGTATAACATTTGCGATGGGCATGAATCGGTCTTGCTCGCGCACCGTGCACTCGTCACCGCCGCCGGCTAGAGGCGGCGGTGGCGGCAGGAGGCCAATGGTGGTGGTCGACGGTGGTTGTGGTGACTTTTTCACCTCTACACATGATGACAAAATTGAAATTATGTATATATATAATTTCAGGCTATCAAATTAATGAAAATGACAAAAATTTTCTAATTCAAATTTTTATAAATGTATTATGAGAATACGTAACATTTCCTATATAATTCATTCAATGGTTTTATAAATGTTTCTTCTTCTTATTTTAAGATTTTATAACTTTTTTGTTTGTGTTTTATTTTTCATATATGATATATCAGATTAACTATCTTTTAATGATTTTCGATTTCACACCCATATTATATATATATAAAATACAAAACAGTAATATATGTCCTTATAAATAAATTTAAATTTATTTATCAAACTAAATTAAATTATATCAAATAATACTATAAATTATATTATAAAAAACAAATATTATACATAAGGATCCTGTTGTCCTTAAAGTCTGCGCCCGCCACTTGATACGACATTTTATGTATTAGGCATCTAATTAAGTAAAAAGATTAATCCAACACACCTTTAAATTCCTTCCGATCCCCTCCAACTCTAACATAAATAGGATTCTTATCTTATATGCCGAGTAAATAAGAATTTTTGCTTAATATTATAATATATTTTTGCTTAATCTTTGCCAAAATCGGTATGAAACTATCAATATTGAACTAGAAAAATTACACGGGTTAAGAAATCCTATACCAATCAAAAAATTTTTATATAATTCAGTCAATGTTTTTTATAAATGTTTCTTTTTCTTATTTTAAGATTTTATATTTCGCCAACCCTGTTTGTACAAGGTTTTATTTTTCATATATGATATATCAGATTAACAATTTTCGTTTTGACATCCATATTATATATATAAAATAAAAAACAGTAGTATATATCCTTATAAATAAAATTTAAATTTATTATCAAACTAAATTAAATTATATCAAATAAAATTATAAATTATATTATAAAAAACAAATATTATACATAAGGATCCTGTTGTCCTTAAAGTCTGCGTCCGCCCCTTGATACAACAGTTGATGTATTAGGCATCTAATTAAGTAAAAAAATTAATCTATTTTGCTTAATATTAAATAAACATAGTTTACACTTATGCATATACATATTACCATATTATTTATATTTATTTAAGATATATATTTTTGTAAATGTAATAGTAAATAATATCGATATTTTTATATGATATAAGTAAAAAAAATTCAACACGAGTTGACATTTTCATTTAATGTACAAGTGTTAAATTATTATGATTAAAAAAAATATAATTTAACAATTTAATGAAAATCGAAAGTAATGTTTTATATAAAATTTAATTATTTTAGTTTTAAAAAAAATAAAAAATTTAATATTTTTTACAAAAGCTTTCTAATTCAACACCCGTGTAATACACGGGTATTGTACTAGTTGCTAGTTAAAACGAAATACGTGTGATTTGAATTTAACGTGAGTTTTCCTAATAAAAATGTGTAATACACGGCTATTGTACTATTTTATTATTTTTTTTTCGGGTAAGGAAACCAATAAAATGGTCCAGGAGAAAAGATTGGTGAGTAAATGGATCATGGTTTCAATTAGGCAAAAATAAGTTTTCAATGATCCAGTTATGAGTAGTCCAGTAGAATTGGACTCACTGTGTTGGCCCATTATCGAAAATCAGTAAAATAGTGAACTTAAATAAGACAAAACTCTAGTTGTGAACGGTGCCAAACATAAACAGTGGGACAAAAGTATTGGTGAAACGTGAAAAAGCAGAAGAAAGCAAAAGAGCTGTTTCTGTTTGTTGGCGTCTTTTAAAATTTTGTTCCTTAGTCCCTACTATTCTTGAGTTTGTAAACCCTTTCCCCACCCACCAAAAAAAATAATAACTTAGACCTTAATAAATTACTAACAATTACAATGAGCAAGAAAGCAAAATTGTACCCAACATGTCCAATAAAACAACACAAGGAAAACAAATCAGCAACAATAATTGAGACCTTAATAATAATTTAAACTGTAAATAGTTATATAAATAATAAAATAAATGAGAACTAATTAAGGAACAACATATGTGGTCATCTGATATTCCGACATTTGAAAGCTAAAGTACGTATTTTTTAGACAGAGATGCATCAGAGAGTACTTTTAAAGTATGATAAATGTCACTCCTTTACATACTGAAAGGGGAAAAAACATATAAACAGCTTTAGGAGCACAGAATGGTGCCTGAGGGGAAAAGGAAAAAATGAATTAATTACAAAATAATTATTGTCTATTGATAGAAAATGACTATAAGCCCTGTGGAAGAACATCAAATTGTGTGTGTGTCCAAATATTGCATGTTTGCCACTTGTTTATATTTNTCTTTTAAATAAAATAAAATGAAAAAAAAAATGATAAAAATTGCAGTTACGATTACTCCTTAGTCCTTTGTAGTACATTGTGCTCGTCCATTAGTTAATTATTACAAGATAAGAACAATGTTGATTTAATTTAAATTCTGCAAAAGTTTAATAAACGTTAAATGAGAATTCACCATCAAATGGAATCGAAATTGTTCGTATTGAAAGTGAACCGTAGCATTTAGTTGGAGAAAATGAGTATATTTCTTAGCATGAACTTCATTAGCATGCAACTGACAAAACAAAATGCCAAAAAAGAAAAAAAAAATAGAAAAATAATTAAGGATATATAAATATTCTTGATGAGGCAAAGGAAAAGCAAAACCCTAAGTCAAATATATTTTACCAGCGCTTGTCTGTGGAAGCTTTTTGTAGCCATGAAACCCTCCATTATTGTTGTTTGCTCCAATCTCCATAATTTTCTTCTTTTTTCCTTTCCTTGTTTTGAAAAGAGAAACTAAGTTTGGTGATGTTTAAATGGGAACTGTCCTCATTTATAGAGCCAAAACAAAAAACACAGAGGGGGGACACGTGGCGGAAGAAGGGCGTTGTGAACGAGAGAAAAGCATTCGCGGGGTGGGATTTAAGGGATCAGAGTTGGGCAGCTGTGGTGCATTGACCGGCAGACCACCACATTAATTTTGTATATATATGTATTTATATACACAGCCATTAGCTATGGCTGTCTGTGTTTTCTTCGTCTTCTTTACTTAATTAATGAGGCACTTATTTTCGAGGATGGGTTTTTATATTAGAGTCCCAATTGAATCGAAGGGTTTTGTAATTTGCCGCCGGTATTGGCTGATCATGTTGACTGTGTAAGTTTAAATGAGTACTGAGTACACATTTTCCGGGAACAAAAAATAATAGTATATATGTAATTTCAGTTTAGAGGATAAAAAGAGTATCCAATAATCGTGAAAATTGTTATATTAATTTGCCTACATGAATTAAAGCTTAACATATTCCATGTCAACTTTTTAACACTCGTCCAAGTGGAAAGACTTTATTTTCTTCGGTAACCCCATTTGCCTCGTATTCCATTAATTAATTGGACTAAAGTCCTAATCAGGAAAATCCATAAAGCAAATTGCAAGCTGATAATCAAGAGAAGTACAAATAGTTTGTTTCTTTCGTGTCTTCCCAATTTGACATTTTTTGTTATTGTGGTAACTCGTAAATGCCTCAAATGTAAGTTTGAAAAAGATCTTGAATCCCAACTAAGAACTTTGCTTGACAAGTGACAGAAACTGGAGGAAAACGAGTGCGGGCCCACTATCATGAAGTGCACCATGAACGGAGAAAACTCATACAAAGCCTAAATAAGGTTCCAAGCCAAAATCAATTGGTGGAAGGAGAAGTAGCTCATTAGTCTTATAAAATGGGTTTATTTTCTATGTATGGACAATGTGAGACAACTAGAAATGACATTCTAACACGCTCCTCACTTGTGAGTCCTTTAAAAGCCCAAGCCCAACTGGCTGGGAGACGTGTACGTCATCACACGGTCTAGAACCGGCTCTGATACCATGACAGAAACTGGGAGAAAACGGGTGCGGGCCCACTATCATGAAGCGCACCATGGGAAAACTGAAAAAGCCCATATGAAGCCCAAATGGGGTTTCATCCCAAAACCAATTAGTGCAAGGAGGAGTAGCCCATTAGGTCTATCTTTTATGTATGGATGATGTGGGACAACTCACAAGTGATATTCTAACACGCCCCCTCACTTGTGAGTCCTTCGAAAGCCCAAGTCCAACTCGCTGGGTGACGGGTACCTCATCGCACGGTTACCAATGGAACTGGTGTTTGTTCCATTTTTGTTACGTTTTTCTTTATTGTTTTGTCGTTCTTTTTTCCCCGTTTTAGGTCTTTTTGTTGGTTTGTAGTTCGTTTTGTTGATTATTGCGTATTTTCCTTTATTTTGGTCTTCTATGTGTTTTTCGTGTGTTTTTTCAGTTTTTTTTCTTGTTTTTAGTGTGCAGGTCGGAAGCCCTGATAAGTTGTATTCTTGGCATGTTAATTGTCATGTTTTCCATACTTTTCGGTGTTTATTGGAGTTTATTTATTGCTTTTAATTGAATTTTATAATTTATGTAGGATATCTCGGAATTTGGAATTTATGATAATTGAAAGGCGAAAGATACGAATTTGAGCTAAGGCGTGGGCACGCTAATTTCCTACAAGAGTTAGAAGAAGGAAGGAGTCTTGAGTTGGAAAGAAAAATAAAAGACTTTATGGAATTTATTTATTTATGGACTATTATATTTTATGAGGATATTTTGGAGAGAGAATGATCTCTTTATTTTCTACGTACTTTCTGCTAGGATTAGGATTTAGACTGGTTTAATTAAAAACCAGACTGCAGATTTTAGATCTATCTTTTATCTGATCTCTTTTTTTCTCTTCCTCCCCATCCACGCGCCTCTTCTTCTCTTTTCTTTTCTTTTGCTTTTCTCTTTTATTTTTCATGAATAATTGGGAGGCTTCTCCCATGTTTATGGATAATTAATTTATTTTTCTAGCCAAAGGATTATTCTAGACTTGGTTCTTTATGATTTGTGAGATCTAATTGAATTTATATTCCCTACTTCTCTTTTATTTATATATCTCTTGTGATTATTATCAATTGTGTTTTGATTGTTGATGCAAACTGGCCATTTGTTTGATTGTTGAAACGCATATCGTTATTTAGAATGGTTAAATCCGTAATTGTTTGATCGTTCTAATATTTGTGGCAAATAGCATAGTTGATTACTAAGGGTTTTCGATTGTATGCTTAGGGAGATATATGATCTAGTCTAAATGATCCTACATGTGCGTTTGTTGGCTAGAATTGGTGGTCCTTCTAGATCTTATTGCTGTTGATAGATTAAATCCTATGATCGTATCTAGGGTTGTCTGTTGATTAGAGAAATAATTAGAGATCGTATCCTGATTATCGAGCAAGTAAGGAAGGATAGGTTGTTAGGTCGTTTCAATAACCATAACCAGTTTAATCGAGAGCAGGAGAATTATTATTGCATCCGTGATCGAATCGTTGAATCATTTCTACGAGTTTTTCCTTTGGTTGGATATTTTCTCTATTTTTAATCACCCATTTTGTTTTCGTATATAGTTAGATTTTATTTTATTTTATTTTATTTTTATTAGTTAGATAAAAATCATCAAACCCCCATCATTTTATTTTTATTTTTTTCACGAATAGTTGCATCGACACTTTGTCTAGCCAATCCTTGTGGATACGACCCTGCTTACCACTACTACAGTTCTTTTAGAAGCAGGAATTTATTATTGTTGGATTCGACACCCATCAATTTTTGGCGCCGTTGCCGGGGATTGGTTTCTAAATAGACTTGTTTTGGTGCACTATTCTTTTGTGCAAGAGGCTTACATTTTATGGAGTTTTATTCTCAGCAGTTCGAGCAAAATGGTCGTCACATGGAAAGCATGTGCCAATTTGAATTTTGTGGAATTTGTGGTGATGCTCAACACCCAACTTGTTCTTACCCAACATTTCTATATGAACCTCAAGGGCATTCTCAAGTTGGAAATTTTCAAGAGCCGCAACGAGGTAGCTTTGATGGATTTTATGATAGCTACAACTCTGAGTGGTGGGGTGATTACTCGCCTACCCAACAACAATATTCATCGAGTTCGATCACATCTCTTGAAGAAATTGTTAAGTCGCTTATGCTTAGTACTTTACAGTTTCAACAAGAGACTAGGAGTAGCCTTAAGAATCTAGCAGATCGACTGGACCAACTTGTGTCCTCAGTGAGCGAAACCGCATCTCGATTTGAATTGTCATCAGATACGGTGGTAGATACCTCGAGTTCTGCTACAGAGTTGATGAAATCTCCTAAGATAGAGCAAGAATTCATGGAGGAATCTGAACGAGTTGTGGTTTTTCGATCTGCAAGTGATTTGTCTCCTAGTGATTATATGGGTGTTGGTGAATTTGAAGTGCAAAAAAATCTTGACTCGAGTGGTTTGGATAAGTTGAAAGTTGTACTTTTCAATGATACAACCTTTGATAGTTCACTAGCGTTTCAAGATAGCTTATATGAATCGTATTGCTTTCCTCTAACTGATACCATATCACCTGTTACTCGTACTGACGATTCATATTTTATTTTGCAGGTGCTGGAATTGCCACTATTAATTGTTGAGAATTTGATTGAGAATCAAGAACAAAGTCTTTTGCATGAGTTGAAAAAAATTAAAAAGGGAATTGGTTGAGTCCCGAAAATAATGTCTAGCCGAAGACGTTAAAGAAAGGCGCTTTTTGGGAGGCAACCCAAACTTTATTTTTTTTTTTATTATTTTAGTAGTTGATTTTTTATTTTTTTTTAAGGTTCGTATTTGGTAGTTTTTATAGGATTTATGGAAATTTTTAAGGCAGAAACGATTTTTTTTTAAGACGTGGACATGCCTTATATACTCGTAAAATGTATTGTTTCTCTTCATTTAAGCCGTGGCCACGCCTTAGCAAAAAAACGTTTCTGTCCGGGCTTATGTTACGTGACTCACGTATCGTTTTTTTGGTCAGTTTTTATTTAAAATAAAAAAATAAAAAATAAATTGAAAAATCAAAAAAATTGAATAACTCTTGAAACTCTTCTCCTTCCCACCCCTAACTTCTCTCTCTCAGGCACCCAGAAATCGCAAACCACAATTCCCGTTCACGCCTCTTCTCTTCCCCTTAGACGACCACCGGCGAGCCACTTCCGTCTCCCTCAGACGACCACCGGCGGGCCACTGCCTGAAATCCCCTTTTCTACGTTCATCCACCACTCCACCGACCACCGCGCGCGTAACCGATTATCCCAATTCCGGTGGGCGCTGCATCTTCTCCGGCGGAACACGCGACCTTCAGGGACGCCGCGAGAAACCAATGTGAGGAACCCCTTAACCTCTGAAATTTGCTGTCATCGCCCAGACCAGATTGGCGGAGGAAACAGCATAATCCGCTCGCGACCCAACCTCTGAAATTTGTTGTCAACCATTCGTTCACCGGTTGTTCGATCAATTGTTGAGACCAGCGACCTCCGACGGGATCTGCTGCCCCTTTTTCCGGTTAATTGTCCGCCTTTTGAGTTCTCCCGGCGAGCCATCACCAATTTCTCCTGACCCGCTGCTCTTCCGGAGAACCCTGCTGCTTCTCTTCCGGCCTACACCTGGCCTCATCTATTCACGATCGCTGCCGAATGATCATTAAATCTAATGATGCAGCACGATGGCGAGATGTCTGTTCTGTCTTCACGCCATTACCAATTTCAAGCTGTTGCAATACGTCTCGTGTTTTGGCGAACCTTGCTAACCGGACTGATGCGTTCATGACGACTCTTCTTTACCGGCGAGCCGCTGCTGTTCGCCACCTGACACGAGCGAGCCGACACACCACCTCTGTCTTTGCTGCCCTCTGTTCACGCCTTCGGACCGTGCACAATTCTCTTGTCCTGGAAGCATTGGAAGCATTACTAACCGCCGTTGGCAGCACATTCAGGCCCAATTACCGAACCTCCGAGAGTTGTTCAATTCCGTGCCAGCCCTCCCGAACCGACGTATCGAGACCAAGCCTAAAGAAAACGGGCTCAACTCATCATTCATCTGAGTCCAATTCTCTACTGCTACATAGCTGACTGGCTCGAATATGCAACTGGATGCTCAATCAGGGGAGTTTTCTATTTCTCTTGCGTTTATTTTCTATATTTGTGATTTGAGCATTGAGTTGATGCCATTGAGGACAATGTCAATTTTTAAGTGTGGGGTGGGGTGTCCTTTGAGACGTTTTGATTTTGCGTATGCGTAATTATCTATCTTTAGTCGCAATAATTTTGTTGATTATCTTAGGTGTTAAGTCTTGTTTATTGTGTCTCTCATGGTTATTCTTGATTTGTTTGGTGCCAATCCGTGAAAATTTGATTTTATTTGCACATGAAAATGATTTTTGAGTCCTTGTTGCTACGTGGTGATTGATTATTCTTGATGATTAATTGACGGATGAATACATGTGATTCGACACATATTACCTTACTTTTAGTGAGATTTGAGCCGATGAGCATACGTTGAATATCATGCTCTGTTTCTTTGATTGTGTGTTGTCATGACTAGTTGGTTTTTCTAGAACTTGCATTATTATACATGTCTTTGTTTATCTTTGATGAATTTGGATGCATGATATCTTAATAAGGGTATTAGGATTAGCCCTTTGTTTTTAGCTTTTTTCTTGAAAGCCTACCCATTACATAGACCCTAGTGAGCACTTGCATTATTATACATGTCTTTGTTTATCTTTGATGAATTTGGATGCATGATATCTTAATAAGGGTATTAGGATTAGCCCTTTGTTTTTAGCTTTTTTCTTGAAAGCCTACCCATTACATAGACCCTAGTGAGCCAAGTTTGAGCCTTAGCCTTTTCTTTCTATTAGCCACGTTACAAGCCACAATATCCTTTTTTGTTGATGCCCTCTTTGAACCTTGAGTTGAAGCAATTATATGAATTCTTTGTATTCATGATGAGCTTATGTGCGTAGAATTGACTGTGGTTTGTTTGAGGTCTAGTTATCTAACATCTACTAGTTCTTGTCTTCTCTCAAAAAAATAAAAAAAACAC